ATTTGTCTGCATAATTACTGGAATAATGCTGTGTTAGCAATATGTGACTAACCTAATGCGCATTGCACTTGGATACAATGTATGTAGCAAAACTCTCCATTGTATACCCGTGAGAAATGGACCTAATGTATCACAATGTGTATTGCAATGTGTAGTCCTTTGTTCCTGAGAAAGGAAAAGTATAAAACTGAAGTCTGAACCCGCCCTCGGAGTTCAGAATTGCTGGTTGCTACTGCTTCTGAACCTGCACAATAAATCTCTCTGCTAAACCCTCTGGAATTCATAAGAGTCCTTTAGTATTCCACAAGAATATTGCCAGCGTACCAATCCCAATTGGCAAGGGGACTGATATTTTTCCTTTGTCCAATTTAAGCACGCTAAATAATATTTTTCTGTTTTTTGATATTCTGTAAATGTCCGCCAACTCATACTTTAAGGCAGCGCCCCCCAAACTTTCCGGCTCCATGAACTTGAGCGAGCGGCAGTGGGGGTGACAGCAGGAGGGGGGAATGGCTTTGCAATACAACCTAATCCTATGCATGCACAAATGATGCTTTGCACTCTAGACCCACCACTTGCACTGCTTGGTACCGCTCCATGTCCTGGGCCTTGGGGACCCCTGCTTTAAGGGGTCTTGTAAACTTACCTAAATAAATGTGGAGCATAGTATAAACTACATTTATGTTTTTTTAGTAGTTGATCGATTGCAACTTAGTACAGGTAGTCCTTGACTTTCCGTTGCTAAGTCAGAAGTTTGTTAAATGAGTTTTGCTTCATTTTATGACCTTTTTTGTCACAATTAAGCAAATCATTGCAGTCAAGTTAACAACATGGCTATTAAGTGAATCTGGCTTCCCCACTGATTTTGCTTCTAAGAAAGTCAGTCACATGACCCTGGGACACTGAAACTGTCATAAATATGTGTCAGTTGCCAAGCATCTGAATTTTGATCATGTGACTGCAAGGATACTGCAATGGTCGTGTGAAAAACGGTTGTCACTTTTTTCAGTGGCGTTGTAACTTCAAATGGTCATTAAATGAACTGTTGTAAATCGAGGACTACCTGTGATGTAATGTTAATAGCTATATTTTTAATAGTTAATGAATTTCTAGTAGTCCTGACTCACTTAGCTAATGGGAAGCACCCTAAAAGTTCTAGATCCATTAGAAATGAAGAGTCTAAGACCCCCCCCCAGTTTTGAAATAGAGTGTTAGAAAATAAAAAGTTTCAAGAACTTCACTTTATTATGGCTTTCAATCCTGTGTCTATTAGAAGTTGGAGGCCACATTGTCTAAGGTGGTTGAGAGTAACCATGCAAAAACGGAAGAGAAAAAGAGTGCAAAAAATGCTCACAATTTGTGATCGCTCCCCCACCCCACCTCTTGCTTTCTACCCCGTTTTTTTCCCTGGAATGTTAGGAGGGTAGATCTGGGTTGTAGCTGCACAACATCACAGGCAAAAAAAAAAACAAAACCTCCTTTTTTGTTGGGGCAGATCCACTCCTGAGAGGTTATACAAGGGGGAAAAGCTGGAAATCTGTGTTTGGCCAATTAAGATCACAGCTGTAGCACTTACACAATAAGAATGAATAAAGCAGGGATATATTTTTTTTAACTGTTTGCAGAACCCTAGAGTTCTATGAATGATTCCAGGGTAAAAATGTTCACTTGAACACAGCCAATTTTCTATCTCCAAAGCTCTTGATCAGGGGTTGTGAGATTTTTTTAAAAAAAACAACTAATAAGTTCAGCAATCTGGAAAAAAAAAGTAAAACCTCTGGAATAAATTGAAACCACTCAATTTAATGAGTCAGTGGTGGCTTTAAGCTGCGTACTTTGGAAACTGAATTATGTGCTGAAAGAGAGAAGAATCAACAATCTTATTTATTTTTACAAACCGAGGTGTACAGCAGAGTCCCTGTTTGCTTTGAAAAAAAAACAACAATCATATCCAAAGAAAAGTGGTGAAACAAGAAAAAAATATTCAGCTTTTCTTCCTTGTGTAATCTACCGGTACTATAATTCATCAAGGTGCCTCCATAGGCATGGGTGCCCTGTGATTTAATTTACTGATTATTTATATTTCAATCTACAGATTTCTGAACTACCCTTGATGTGAGTGGATATTCAAAGTGGCTATTAAAAAATGGAGAGGCTTTTCAGTCTGAGATTTTGGTTCTTTCAATAGTTAGAAGAATTTAACTCCAGAGTTGAACAGTTGACCCAGTAAAAGTTCATTCTCCCAAGCACTGATGACATTATCTACTCTGATAACAAAATGTCTGCAGCAAAAGAACCAAGTTCAGAGAACACTAAGAACCCAACCATTTTAGATGTGCTATTAACTAGTACTTTGGGGGTAAAGGTTGGTGACAAGGGGGTCAGTCTGCAGCTGATGGGAATCCTGGAGGAAGCAGATTATTCTAGATCTATTTCAGCCAAGGTTTGGGCTAGGATTTAGTGCTGAGAAAAGTTCTGTTTGTGCTTGTGGATGGTGGTGGTCCACCCATCCTTGTACTTCTTGACCTCTCGGCAGCTTTTGATACCATTGACCAATGTGTCCTCCGGAACTGGTTCTATGAGTTGGAGATGGAGGACACCATTTTATGATGGTCTCCTTCCTTTCTCCAGGGCCAGTTCCATTCATTGTTCATTGGCAGGGAGAGAGCAGAATGGGGCAACAGAGTTGGCTACGGCAGGTTGGCTGCGGCAAGTTGTCCTAGACCCGGGAGAGTGGTCCTCCACCAGTTTGGGATTTGGTATAATCAGCATCCTGAGGAAACCCAATTATATATTTTGACTCTGGGCTACCAAGTGAGGCTGTTGAGATTCTGGCCCAGTGCCGGGAGGTTGTGCAGGTTTGGATGGGGAGAAGCCCATCCCAATTCTACCAAGAATGAGTGGCTGTGGGTGTTTAGACTGCCCAGATCTGAAGATATTCCAGCTTGGACTTTGGATGAGGTTGCACTTCCCCATTCAAAGATGATGTGTAATTTGGGAATCTTCCCTGGACTTACCTGTTGCTTGATGAGCAGGTAGCAACTGTGGTCAGACAGGCTTTTGCCCAGCTTCATCTGGTATACTAATTGCCCCCTTCCTAGAACAGGTGCCCTTCAGATAGTCACTCAAGCCCTAGTGACCTGATCTGACTACTGGAACACACTCTACATGGGCTGCCCTTGAAGACATCTCTGAAGCTTCATCTGGCCCTGAATATACCGGTGAAGGATAATTCAATTGATTAAAAATTGCCATCTGTAGACGCCCCAGAAGCATGCCTTCTCTGGAGCAGTGTCTGCCCTCTGGAATGAGTTTTTTTGCAAAATTCAAACTGCTCCCACCCTATTGGTATTTCAAAGGACCCTAAAGACCTGGCTCTTCACCCAGGCCTTTGGCAAGAACAACTGATGCCCCTTTCTTTCTTGCTTTGTTCCCCCTTGGGTTTGTTTTCTTTGCCTTTGTTGTCCATGTCACATTTGTTTAAATATTTTAAAAATTATCTTAACATTGAACAAGAAGGAAGCATGCCTACAAAGCGAAGTGGCACTCTTTGATGAGTTTCCAACAGTGGCACTCACTCCACTTAGACCTAAAAAAGCAAGCATGCTTAGAAAATAAAACTAGAAGTTAGCAGCCTACAAGTGTTTGATTGGAAAGTGATCCCGAAGGTCCACAAAAAAGCCAGAGGATTAAAATTGTGTGTGGGGGGGAGGTGTTCTCTCTCCACTGTATCTTCCAGTATGTAACTGCCACTGACCATTTAGTGAGCATGCCCACAACCTGTTTTTAAAATTTCAAATCTACTGGCTCAAAAATGAGGGAGCTGCAAAGAAATCTTCTTAACTGCCTATTAAAAGCCACAAGGTAGCAGAAGGTATTCAAGAGAGGAAATTAAAGATTAGGTTGGGGTTGAGCAAGCCTGCCAAAATGATATATGCTTAGGAGCCTCCCTGAAGTTCAGCCAAGAGTTTTGGCACTTCGAAGAGGATTGCATAAGAAAGACAATTATTGTAGCAGAACAAGCTGTCAGAGGGACAAATGGAACCCTCCTTGACCAATATGGCAGCATGAGAACCAACGGAATCCAGTTATGTCAGGGCTTTTGCTTCTACTATGGAGTATCTTCTTGGGGGGGGGGGAATCTGTTTGATACAATTTCTTTTTTCACACAGATCTTACATGAATATTTGGTTAATGTACTTGAGACACCAGCAGGACTGCAATGTACTGGGAAATCTCTTCACTGTATATTTGTAGTGTTTGCTTTTCATAGCAACATGGTGATGGGGTGGGGGCAGAGTATCTACTATTGCAGTAACTACTATGCATAGAATGCTGCTTTTCATCCTTAGCAACTTTAAAATGCCTGAACTTCAATTCCCAGAACTTCCAATTTCAAATCCTCAGCTGGCTGGGGAATTCTGGGAGTAGAAGTCCTCAGATTTTAACATTGCTAAGGTTGAGAGTCACTAATATAGAAGAGAGAGAGAGAGCAGTTTTAATGGAGTGGCCAGCAGGGGGATGTTAGCTGATGCACCCCTAAAAAGGATTACAGTTGCATCTGCTAAAATCCCCCAGTCTAAAGCTTCTAGGACAGGGGTAGGCAACCTCGGCTCCTTTATGACTCGTGGATTTCAACTCCCAGAATTCTTGAGTCAGCCATGCTGACTCAGGAATTCTGGGAGTTGAAGTCCACGAGTCATAAAAGAGCCGAGGTTGCCTACCCCTGTTCTAGGTCTACCGATGTCCTGCCCACTTTTGCATTTGAGGCAAAAACCGGAGACTGGTAAGCGACTGACACAAGCAAGATAGGATCAAAGCCAAGGAGACTTTCACTCCTCCGCTCTCTATGCTGCAGTGGTGAGGAAGCCTCCCTGAAAGGAGAAGTGAGAAATCCCTCTAGCGGAGGAAGGAACGGCCCACACCCGGTGCCCAAGGAGGGCCGATGGCGGGGCTCAACCTGGGAATCGAATGCCGTCGTGAAGAGAACTCAAATTACGCAAAATAAACGAGCCGCCTTTATTGTCTCCACTCTTCAGAAGAGACGCCGGCTTTGCCTGGCTGCGGTTTAACGGAAGGTTTCCTCGGCCTCCTCTGCATCGTCCCCCGTCTCCCCGCCATAGCTTTCAAGGTGCTGAAACGAGTAGTAGATGCCTCCGCGGCTGGTGGGAGGCGGGCGTAAGATCATCGCCGGCGGAGGAGGGGCGTTGGTAGACCGCGCGGAGCTGGGGCTGCCTTCGTTCAGGATCCAGACGAAAGAGTAGAGCGCCAGCGCCACCAGGACGAAGGACGTCAGAAAGCCGCTGAGGACCCCCGTCGCCAGAGGCGTGGCCCATTCAAAGAGGCTCCTGTTGTAAGGCGGCCGCATTTTCCGCTCGACGATCAGCTCCAGGCCGTCCCAGTCGCCCTGCTCGAGAGGCGCCGCGGAGCCCCGGCCCTCGCGCCGCTGCCGGCCTTGCGCGCTCCCTTCCGGGCTCTCGTCCAAGAGCAGCGAGGAGGTCAGGTGCTTCACAGTCTCGTGGTACTCCTCCACGTTCTTCTTGATCTCCAAGTTCTTGTCCTGGTTGAGGTTCTTGCCCAGTTCGAGCGAGACGTCGGCGCGGCCGATTAGCTGGAGCGCCCGGGACAAGCGATCCCAGTACAGGGTGTCGCCCTCCGTCTCCAGCCAGCGCTGCAGGGTCTCTTGACACTGGGCGGTGGTGATGATGTCCCGGCGTCTTCGTCGTCGGCCGATGGGGTTGTTCTTCTCGGAGAGGCGCTCCAGTTCGTCTTTCACGTTCTCCTCGGGGCCCAGGAGTTTGAGGTGGAAGGCCTGGCATTCCTCCGGGGACAAGAGCTCCGAGATGCGAGCCATCATGTGGGCCCCGATGTCGTCGGCCACCGTGTCATCGCATAAGGCGGGCAGGGCTAGCAAGGAAAGAGCTAGACCGAGCAGAGGCCACATTCAGAAGGCTCTGGAAAGCGGAAGATTGAGAATGGAAGAAAAGCCTTACGTTTGCCAGCTGCCTGGTCTTTCTCCCGGCCTGAACTCTGGCATTAACTCTCAAAGCACCAGAGGCTCAAGCAGCAAGAGAGAAGAGTACCTCTGAGTCTGCGCAGACTGCCATTTCATGTTAAAAGGTGGCTTGAGTTGATATTTGACAGATATCCAGCTATCTGTCATATAATGCAATACATGTCATGCAGAATGAGGAGAGCATTTATGAAGTTCTCTCACATATGTAGCCATTTATCTGACCTTTCTTTTTCAATCACAGAATTATTCCTTATTGGCTACATGTGTATTTAATGTAACGAGAAGCGGGTAACATCAATTTGCTTTTCTGTTTTGGGCATAATCTTTCAGAAATCCAATTACATTTAATGAGATTTCCCCCCCCCCCAGCATATTTATATAGGACAGGGGTCTGCAACCTTGACAACTTTAAGACTTGTGCAGTTCAGCTCCTAGAATTCTTATGCTGGCTGAGGAATTCTGGGAGCTGAAGTCCACAAGTCTTAAAGTTGTCAAGGTTGCAGACCTCTGACATAGGAATCCAGGTTACTGGCAGGGGGCAGCATCTAGCTGATCTTGGTTAAACTTGTTGGGAAGTTGCACCTATACCAGTGATGGTAAACCTTTTAGAGACCGAGTGCCCAAATTGCAACCCAAAACCCACTTATGCATCATCGGGTGCCGGGTGGGTGTGGCCCATTGGCTGGGCATGGCTGTGGTGGTAACAGCAGACTGGGTGGGACAAAAAAGTTCAATCAATTCCAACTTTGCAAGATTTTTTTTTCCTGCAACAAGTTGAAATTGACTGCTTGATTGAACTTTTTTTTTTTTTTGCACACAGCGGCAGAGGCCTAAAGCAAAAAGGTTTTATAAAACCCAGCTGAAGGCCTAGGACTGGGGCGATGGCACGTGTGCCCACAGAGAGGGCTCTGAGTGCCCGCCTCTGGCACCCGTGCCATAGGTTCGCCACCATTGACCTATACTATCTGCATATGAAAGCCGGATTGAATATGTTAGCTCAGGGAAGAGATGCAAAACATCTATTTCCTATCCTCGCTAGGTCCAATGTATGTATTAACACAAAGTGGAAAAAATAGAAATATGCCCAAACCTATCTGGAAACTGCACACTATCCAGTGTCGTCCTACAACAAGTGTGGAATAACTTAGGGTAGTTTGGTGACAAGAATGGCACTCTGTTCATGGCCAAAGGAAAGAAATGTCCTAAACTGTGAGAAAACACATGACTAAACAAGAACCCTTGTTTGGTCTGCAATATCCTCCTTTGCTTGTAACATTCCTCAGATGCCCTGGCTGTATTCTCACCTCTCAATAGGCTAAAATGTGCTGAGCCTAATTTGAGAGGCTGTGTGTCATACAAACCTAGTCTGCAGTTAGTTGATGTTTTGTGCTAATCCAGATACAGGTAGTCCTTGAGTTACGACCTCAACTGATCCCCAAACTTATGTTGCTAATTGAAATATTTGTTAAGTATGTTTGCCCCAGTTTACGACCTTTCTTGCCACAGTTGTTAAGCATTGCATTTGTTAAGTTAGTAACATTAAGTGAATCTGGATTCCACATTCGCTTGTCAGAAGATTGCAAAAGCAGATCACATGGCCCCAGGACACAGCAACCATCATAAATATGAACCAGTTGCCAAGCATCTGAATTTTGATCCTGTGACCATAGGGTTGCTGCAATGGTCGTAAGTATGAAGAATGCTCATAAGTCCCTTTTTTCAGTGCCATTGCAACTTTGGATGGTCACTAAATGAACTATTGTAAGTTGAGGACTACCTGTAATGAATTTAATTGAAGAAATCATAGTGCAGTTAACTATAGAGGATGTGAACTACAACAACTGTGTCTCTCCAATTTTCTAACATGTCCTATAATAACTGCCTGAGATGTCCACCAATTTAATAATGTACAGATTTTAACAATCTGTTTAGATCAGGGGAAATGATCATGTTGAGGCTCCAAAGCAACAAAAATGCCAGAAACTAAAATAATAATCTAACCCAGGGATGTCAAACTCGCAACGTCAAGTCACGTGTCGTGATGTATCGCCACTTTTTTTCCATTGCTGGCAATGGGGTGGGCACAGTTTCACCATGACGCATCCAGCCTGCGGGCCAGCAGTTTGACACCCCTGATCTAACCCAGTCTGCATGAAGGGAGTTCAGTTCCAAAACATTTGGAGGACTTCTAGTTGGGAAAAGCTGCCCTAAATGTAGGAACAAATATTGCCAATTACCTGAACTGACTTCCAGAACAAGAGGCATTTCTTGAACTAATGTAGAGCTTTTTTCTGTTGGAATCTTAAAACCTTCAGTGTATGATGTCATAGAAAGAGCCAGCAAAAGGTTCTGCTTCCATTTCCCCCTCTCTGGAGAAGGTCTGGTTCATGGGATCCTGTAACGTGTATGAAGCAGCTCTCCAGATTCACTGATCAGCTGTCCTCCAACATAGGGGATCCATGAGATGGCAGGGGCCACTGGTTGAAACAGAAGATGGTCCCTGCTCCATTGAGCAGTCCTTATTGCTATGGGGTAGTAAAGGCTGTCCCCTTCTCCTACCTGCTTGGGGAGGGGGCAGAAAAACGGGGAAACAGCGAGGTATCAAGTACAGGGAGGAATTGTGTGGTAAAGAGAATTTTACACACCCACCAACCACCATTAGCTGTTTTCCAGGATACTTTGAAATATCGCTGAACTAAAAAAAAGACTTCAAAATAATATGTTTAAAAACTTATTTTTAAAAAGCTAAAATAATATTAACCAGCTCAGGTAGCTGCTGAGAACCAGGAACCAGGCTGACTAACCATTTTCCCTGAGAATTCCTTCCCATTTTCTGTCACAACCATCCTCCCTTCCTATTGGCCATTGCTTCCAGCTATGGACTCTCCCAAAGGAATCAGCAACAGCAGACAGATGCCACAGATGGAGGCTTGTTCCAGAAACAGCCGCAGCCACCCACCCCCTTTGACCAGATATCCCCACAACTGCCCTTGTTCAGAAGTGTGGTACGCACTGAAGGAACTGAGTTTGAAGGAACACTATTTTTTCCAGGGCCCAAAGCAGAATGGCCCTGCAAAACAAGATGGAGACCAAATTAGCCTATAGGTTCCAGGCTGCAGTCTAAATTAGCCAATAGGGACTCATCCTCTGTGGATCATCTGACTTACCAACTGCAGAGATAGTCAAGTGTCTTGGGTTATACCCACAGTCCTGGCTTCTCTGCTTAAAAGGAAAATCATTACCTCCACACCTAAATGGCTAAGGCTTGGGGACAAGAGGAAGGCAGCCTCATGAGGACGTGGCAGGAAAAAAGGCGGTTGCTAAGGCTTTTCATAATGTAGTGTAGTGCAAGTGAGGAAAGCCAGCTTTTTTTTTTTTTTTTTGCATCTTGTAGCTCTGGATCAGCAGATGGCAGCATAACCCCAAGAATTAAAACTTGAAAGAGATTGATCAATAGCCTTCACCTTCACTCAAGGACATCTAAAAACTTTGCTTCTGGCCCTGAATTAGTGCTCTTTCTAAAGAGATATCCCCCTTTTAATACAGAACTGGAATGTGATGGTCTTCAGAGCAAGCCTTAATAGGTGACAAGTGGCAATTCCATGCTTTCAGTATGCTAGCTCAAAGGGTAGGTTAAAATTACTAGCCCTCTGCTTTTAAAATTAGCATTGTTCAACCAGACTAAGAGACAAATGCAGAAAAATGAGAGTTAGTTATATTGGCTGAATTGCTGTATGTCAGGTTGTTATGAAAAGCACAGAAATGGGATTGTTTAAAAATAAAGTATAAAATGTTGAATATCTCATAAGACTTTTTTTTCTGTTCTGTGTTTTATTTTTGACAGTCATCAGGGCTAAATTATGGACTTGCTGTTTGTAAGGATGCACTGATCTTTCCAATAAAAAATATAGTTGATTTGGTCTCCTTTGTAGCTTGTCTTTTGGCAAGTAGCTAGGATTTCCTATGGACATGTTTAAATGCTGTTTTTATGCAATGGATCTATCTCTTAAAATTAGAAATCTGTCAATTGCCTACTACTATTTTTAAACACAGTATTTAAGGGTTGGCTAAAAGCCACTGCTTTTTACTGTTACCTAATAAAAGAGTAAGTTATAGGAGAAACTGTCATAGTCCATTTTTTTTTAAACAAAGAGATTTGTGCTGGCAACACAAGTCCAGTTCAGTGGGTTTAACAATATTTTCAATTTTTAAAACAATTTTTACTAATGTAATGGCATCCAGATGGGTTGCCTAATATGTATGCTAGGAGATATATCAGCTGATAGTATTAGATGACAAGGGGCTTGCAGAAGGGATTTCTGCCTCAAATATAAATAATCATGTGAGATAAGATGAAAAGGAATTCTTGCAGTCTCTATCCACCCCACAGGTCTTCTTTGCTTCTGGGTTATGATTGTCCCCTTTAATGCATAGGTGCACAGTGGCCTTCTTCAAATTGGAGCCCTCCAGACGAGTTGGATTACAGTTCCCCTCATCAATCAGGCAACATGGATTTGTTTTCTGGGGATGATGGGCATTAGTCACTGGAATGGTGCAGAGCAGCAGGCTCGGAAAGGCCAGCACCTAAGAGATTAGCTCTCTCTACGTGCTTGCTACAGATAGGAATAAGATCCCTAGGAAAGGAGAGGGGACTCCCTATTCCTGCATTTGCACATAAGCACACCGCCTGCTCCTAAAAGAATTGGATTTTCATCTCTGTCCTGCAGTTTTTGAAAATTCAGATTTGCCTCCTTTCCCTAATTGTGCCTTGGGACAACTGCTTCTGGAAAAGTCTGGCGAATAACTAACCAGAAGGAAGCACCTTCTCCCCTAAAACCTCCCACAGGCCCATTAGAAATGCACAGTGGTTTCATTGTTCCCATTAGGAATACCCCTAACCCACCACCCCTCCCCAATTCCCCTTAAAAAAAAAGCTACTGCCTAGCTGTGGAATGAAAACAAATCATCCACAGTTGGCGACTGAGCAGGAGGCCCACAAAGGGCGTTCCTCGTTCTTAACATTCATTGATTCCAAGGGGCCGAAAATACCATTTTCAAAGCTGCTTCTCTGACTTTCTGGACCAGGAAAACATGCTCTGTCCTTAACTGCAGTTAGAGAAGGAGATCCTTCTTTTTGACGTACCCACTTTTGGAAATGGCTGTAGCACACTCTCTAGAGGTTTCCCATGTCCTTCTGCAAGCAGTGTGGATAATTTCCAAAGGGACAATTGAGGGTAGAATCTTGAAGGCAAATGCATGTCTTAAGACAGTAGGCTTTTGTGAGTTATAGTCTGCTTGTCAGATACACTGGAATACACACACACACACACACACACACACACACACACACACACGTCTCAGAGCTGGGATAGACAATGAAAAATAGTGCAGGGAATACAAAAGAATGAAACGAAGATGTGCAAGAAGTACATAATCATTGCCTGTTGATAGATGCCATTAAAACAGTTCTTGAATGCAAAACAGATATATTTGTGTATTGGAAAACTGAATAAAGTGTGGCAGTGAGAATAGAAACCTTAGGGAACAGTGTAAACCTTCATTCCAGCTGAGTTCTTTCACAGTGAGACTCTTTCCTCAAAGGATGGATAAATAGTGTGGCAAATTGACAACAGGTTTTGTCATTAACAGTTGGATCCAGACTCTGCAGATCTCCTCAAGTTGGCAAATGGTTTTTAGTTGTCAAAAGCTCTCAAGGGATCCACGTTTTCAATTCTCTTAATTCCCATGCTAGGAGATGCACAGCTTTCAGAAATGGGAATATATTTTGTGGCCCAAGAGAATGTATTCCTACAGGACTAGATATCTGGATGGCATAGAGACGCATGTCATATGGGAGGAAAGCAGAAACAGCTATTCACTACACTAGGCCCCAGGCAGCAGCCAAGTGAAAGCTACATTGCTTCAGATTGTAGGTAGGGATGATATGGTTTTAAACACTCTTCACATAAAACGTGGCTCGCCTACCAGAGACTCAGAAATGCTACCCTATTCTGCCTGCTATTGCAATTGTGTTGGTTCAGAATTCCATCATCTCATTCTGTGTAATCAAGGTTACTTTTAGCATCTGGCTAAACTGAGGCTATTCGGGGGTTTATAAACTATAGCAGCTGGGTTCAAGCAATCTTAACAACAAAAATCAAGGGAATTGCAAGAAAGCAAAATGGACTATTACAAGGAGATATATGGCTGCTGCCTTCAAAGAGCCATGTCTCTACCATAACACCTGATTAAGTGACATTTTCTTGCCCTCATGCCAATCCACTGGAGGTTATTGTCAAGGGACGAGGAGAAATGAAGCACTCAAGAAGCAGCTGGGCCTAGGAGCCTCCTGATCTCGGTGCTCGGAGATCCAAATTCACTGATCTTGTTCAAATGCTACTTTTGCATCGTGAGATGATGATCAGGACTGCACAACATTTTCAAGGAAAACAAGCATTTCCTATGGTCTCACTGACCAGTCCTTGAATTCAGGGGTTTGTTTAAATCACCATGAGAGGTAATGCCATCAGGGGGCAGCGTTAGCAGCATCCTTCCACCTCCTCTCTTTCTCTGACTCTATTCACAGTGAGCACAAGGCAGTGAATGCCAAGGCCTTCTTTGCCCCATCAGGTCAGAATACATCTGAAAAGGCTATTAAAAAAAACAACGGAACAACAGAACAGAAAAACAGAATTGGAAGGGACCTTGGAGGTCATCTGGTCCAACCCCCTGCTCAAGCAGGAAAACCTATATACCATTCCAGATAAACGGCTGTCCAATCTCTTCTTAAAAACCTGCAGTGACGCAGCAGCCACAACTTTTGAAAGCAAACCATCAATGATTCTTATTGTCAGGATTCAGGAAATTTCTCCTTAGTTTTAGGTTGGATCTGTCTGTAATACTCTACATTTTTACGTGTTACTTTTTTTTTTTTTTGCCTTCAAGTGCTTTGGAGAATAGGTTGCCCCTCTCTTCTTTGTGACAGCCTCTCAAATATTGGAAGACTGCTATTATGTCACCCCTAGTCCTTGTCTTCGTTAGTCTAGACATATCCAATTCCTGCAACCATTCATTGTATGTTTTAGCCTTTGTTGCTCTTCTCTGTACTCTTTCTAGAGTCTCAACATCTTTTTTGTAGTGTGGTGACCAAAACTTTATGCAATATTTCAAGTGTTATCTTACCAAAGCAGTATATACAAGGAAGTCTTCGACTTACGACCACAGTTGAGCCCAAAATTTCTGTTGCTAAGTGAGACATTTGTTAAGTGAATTTTGCTCCATTTTACGACCTTTGTTGCCACAGTTGTTAAGTGAATCGCTACAGTTCTTAAATTAGTAATACAGTTGTTAAATGAATCTGGCTTCCCCAATGACTTTGCTTGTCAGAAGGTCACAAAAGGTGATCACATGACCCCGGGATACTGCAACCGTCATATAGACAACCGTCTGAATTTCAAGCACACGACCATGGGAATGTTGCAATGGTTGTAAGTGTGAAAAATGGTTATAACTCACTTTTTTCAGTGCCACTGTAACTTTGAACAGTCACTAAGCGAACTGTTAAAGTCAAGGACTACCTTGACATGATATTTGATGTGATCTTGTTATTATTCCTCTTTTGAGGCAACCTAAGACTGCATTGGCTTTTTTGGCAGCTGCAACACACTATTGGCTCATACTTAAATGTTTGTCCACTAGGACCCTACTAGATCCCTCTCACGATTATTGCTGTTGAGCCAGGTACCACGTATTCTATAACTTTGAAAGATACAGTTCAGTGGTCGCAAGATCACATTTGCCATCTCCTTTAGAACTTTGAGATGTAATCCATTTCTGGTGATTTAAACTCATCTAGGGTGGACAGGTGTTGTCTTACCATTCTCTTACCTATTCTGAATTCTATTCCTAGTCTGTCTTTTACGCTTCTGCTTTTGGTAGATTGGGGTGTTTTTTTCCTTTTGTGTGAAGACAGATGCAAAGAAAGAATTAAGCAGTTCTGTTTTCTCCCTGCTTCCTGTCACTTCCTTACCATCTTCTCTCACTAGTGGACTGATCATTTCCTTGACTTTTTTTTACATATTGAAACTTTTTTAAAAATTATTTTTGACATTTGTTTCAAGTTTAGTTCATCCTGAGCCCAGCTTTCCAGACTTCATCCTTGCAGATTCGAGCTATATGCTGATATTCTGCCTTAGTTAAGTGTCCCTCTTTTCATTTTTTATACTTGTTCTTTTTGTCTTTCAGTTAACAGAATTCCTGCTGGTTTTTCTTAGATCTCTTTTTTTTTCCAATGGCATTATACTGGACTGGGCCTTTATAATTTCATTTTTCAGAATTTCCCAAGCTTCCTGAGTTGTTTTCCCCTTTAATATTTTCATCCATGGAATCATTCCCAGGCTCTAAGTTTAAAGTCTAAGATATTAGCTTGATTTTGTTCCATTTTATTCTGTCTGTACTATATTGAATTCCAATATGACACAAGCCCAGCTTTCTCTGAACTCTCCATTAAGTATGAGAGAGATGTATATACCTCTCTTATCTATTTATTTATTGTCCATCCTTTGTTGTTTTTATAAATATCTTGTCCTATTTTCCACAGAACCACCCTGTACAGTGGGTTGGGCTGAGAAACAGTGACTGGCCAAAAGTCACTCAGCCAGCTTTCTAAGCCAGGTCTAGAACTCATAATCTTAGTTCCATACACAGCATTGGCAGGGATCCCCAGTCAGTCCTTCAGCCTAGATTCTTTACAGCTAAGCCCATTTATTTCTAGCTTAGCCAGGATGTATGAAGAATCACAGCAGGGTTAGCTTTCTAAGAAAAGTGCTGGACAATGGGAAACTTAGGAATGGACCTTTTCCCGCTGGCAGAAACTCTTCCTTACCTGCCCTTGCACTGTCTCCCGTCTTCCCATAGAGCAGTGGTTCTCAACCTGTGGGTCGGGACCCCATTTGGGGTCGAACGACCATTT